TGACTAGTTGCTGGCTAACTCGGCGGTAGCTCCAGGACTTACTGACTGACTCAGTACAACTCAAGTCGCCGACTGCTACAGTAGAACTCGGCGGCTGTTATGGTAGAACTAACTGTGAATAGCCTTCGCTGCGTCTTATGTAGCCTCAATCGGACAGTTGTTGCCTGGTGCCTTGTTGCTAGCCACGCTGTCCGGAGTTGTTGACGGCTGCCTTGCATAGTTACCAGGTTACGGGGGCTCGGCTATCTTCGGCTCCGCTTGGCTCTCTTCGGCTCCGCTCGTGACGTCACCACTCATAGCTGCCAGGATGCGGGGTGATTACTCGCCTATTACGCGAGCGTTACGTTACCGCTACGTGCAGCTGGGGAGGTAGGGGTCAACATGTCACAATACATATAAACCTTGTATATCTGGTATTAATGATCACAGAAATCAAAGTACCTAAACTGCTGGAATAAAAAAAAGTATTTGTGTATCCCTGTGTCCATGGATTTATGTAACTCAAACCCATGTAAGTCAGGGACTTACTGTATTACCAAAACCTCTTTTAATTAACAGTCATGTAATTTCAATATAAACAAGGTGTTCTGGGCAGAACTCATTAAGCCTGCTTTTCTATTGCAGAAATTTCCAATCCTATATAACTTTAGTTACTCATAAGTACTTTTTTAATATAGTCTTAAATGAAGGTATGTCAATCATATAAACCAAACCATAGGCTTTAAAAATCACAGGTCAGTTGATGTGTTTCTGGTCATAAATGCAGAATAACTAATATCCCTTTTACTAAACAAGGCATCAAAATATGGCAGTATTAATCCTTCACTCAGCTCTCTTATCATAAAGAACTATGCATCAACATATGTGACTACCTCTTCCTACACCCACTAGGCTTTGACATAATTTCTTTCAGGCATAAATGACATCTTCATCTAAATGGTTTGTATTTCAGTGCCTGCTTTGGTATTCCACCCTCAGACTGCATTTGTGCTGTGGCCAATTCTTTTGGTAATCTCCAGTTATGTTAATAATACTGCATTTTAAATATTTAATTTCTTTAATAAAATTCAATGTCTGTAACTCACTGGTGATCTAGCCTACCAATACACAGTAAATGCTACACAAACATCATAAACCACAGGAAAGTATCAAGAAACATAAATTAACTTTACAATGTTTATTCAATTTTTAATATAATAAAATTACTGAATGAATATTTTTTTTTTCATTATAATATGAACACAAAAAACTAAAACACAATATTACTTTATCAATGCCAAAACATATATGTACTTGTGAAATATTCTAGGGACCTTAGCTTATATACAAATATACTCAGTTATTTTCTATGTTGTACACAGAGAAACATTTGATACTGTGGCATGTGGACCAGTTATAGCCTTCAGTTCAACAAATGAAAAACATAACATCAACAACAGATGTTAACTTTTCATGTCTGGCTTGTTCAACCATGTCAGCATTGACTACCACTTACACATTTAATAAATAAATTAAAAATTCACAAACAATATTTTTATTCAGTTTTTAAGTACCAAAGTGACAGAGTTTATATTAAGGTTACTGATGTAGTTATTTATATTAACTAATTGTATTTAAGTTTTTCTGTTCATATTAGACATCCAAGGGACATTGACTTCAGAAATAATACAAATCAGTCTAAATAATATGGCATGCTCTTTAATCAAGTGGTTTATATTTCACTTCAAACTCACAAATCCACATGAAATATATGCAATATCATATAAAACTCTAGATTCTGAATAACAGATGTACAGAATAATATTTTATGTATTCACTTCCACACATCCACACTACATTCTCTTACTAAAGATGCTGAATGTGAAGAAGTAACTGCAGTTCCATTCTTTAATAACGTTTATGGATCATGAATCTGGTTAGCAAGCCTCTCAAGTATGTATCACTAACACAGATTACCCACGAGATATTTTCCTTGCTGAAAAATTCACATGTGTTGAAAGGACATCTTGCAAACAACAAATTAAAATTAATGCAATTCTCACTAGTTTTACAAAACCTCAGGGTCAAGCACTCTTATATCAACACACTTACCCTAATAAGAACTTTATATTCAGTTTCATCTTTGAAAATTGGGCAAAAGTCAAAAAGGAATTCCTTGTACATATAAGCTGCATTTCAAACACAAGTTAAAATTTTACTGTGAAACATGTATTACTGAAATCACCTTTCAACATCATCTCCTCCTCTCTCTCTGTACATGTCTGCCATCAGCATACCAAATTTGGAAAAATTTTAAAACTCATATTTATCAGTTTTTTCCACGTTTTCCCCAGCACTGACATTGACTGCTGTATTTGCAACACAATGCCGTACTTACTCAGCAGCCACAGTGCACAGATAAGCCAATTTCAGATTTGCACCAGTGGTTAAAACGGAAGCTGGAAATATGCACAATGGGAGGAAGTCACTTGGTATGTTTTATTTTGGCAGTCAGTATATTAGTCTCAGCCCTTTAAGACTGAGTCAAATCTGTGTTTCTGCGAATGCAGTACAGCTGCCTTGTGCAGAATCTATACAGTCTGCTACAGAAAATATTTCCTGTGTTTACTGATAATGTATTGGTGCACACAACAGAAAGAAAATGAGGGACTCAACATGTGGCTTCACATGTGGTCATATAAGGGAAATTCATGGAAGAATTTCATCTTAAAATCTGCCATGTAACACATTAAAAAACAAAGAACCTCACTGAAGGATATCATCATTACAGCCTCTCTTAATTAAGGTTGTGAAATGACTATATTATGGAATGTGCGTGCATTATGTTATGTGTAAAATTTGCAAAAACAATTACAAATAACTAAGAAGTGCTTAAATCTGTTTTTTGATAATCATTGGCAAAAAGAAATATTTAGAAAATATTTCCTTTGTACATGAAAATGTCTGATTTGTGTCAGCACCTTTACTTCTGAAAATTTGAGCTGCATATAATCTGTAAAGACACTAGTAAGACTGATTATATGAACTCACATCAATACAATAACATCAAAGGTTTTTCTGATAACAAATCAAAGATAATATCAGTAGTATCCATATTAAATATAGGAAACACTGTACTACACTTATGTCTACATGCAGAACTAAAAAAATACACAGAACTAGATGCAACACATACACATATGCATACTATAAAAGCCACATACCACATCAGGGAAGAGAAGTCAATACTGACATTTACTGATAACATATACCATACAGACACAAAATATTGACTACAAAAAGTCCCTTTTAGTGGACACAGCCCAATATAAAGCAGTAGAAAGATATCAGTATGTCTGTGAGTACATGTGCACAGGGCATCTGTTTTGTTATGCGTGAAGGCAGTTGTTAGTTTCCTTGTGCCCAGTGTTATAAAAAGTGTAATGAATTGTCAGAACAGACTTTATCATGAGGAATTCTTCTTCAATTCTTAAATAAAAGGAAGCAATATGGGACCCAGCATATCTTAGCAATGTAGTAAAAGACAAAACTTTACTGTACAGCATTTGGCTTTCCAACACAGTGGCATGCAGATGTCATTCTACACTGAAACAAAACTATGTATTCTCAGGGTCTCCACAGATTGGATGAAGGAAGGTTGAAGCCTTTGCAGAGTGAAAATGTGGCAATGCAGTATGTGATGTTAGGATACTAAAGTCATCAATATGTAATTTATTCAAAATGAAGATGGTAAACAGATATTCATTATGAAGGAATTTATTGGTAACTATGGCCAAATTCTACCATGCTATGAAACTGTTTAAAAAACAAAATGCTACAGTCTATATATCCAGTAACTCTTTTCCAGAGGAAATAAATTCACCTATCCTTGCACTCTCAAAACCTCAAAAATGAGATACCTGACTTGTAAAGCAGAGTATTTTTCATGACTCCACACCATAAAATCTACGGGTCTGGGGAGAACATTACATGTCTTCTGTACAGCACACCACAATACGATACTCAAAGGATATTCAGAAACCTTAACCTACCAGCACTGGAGAACTTAAACTTGATTTAATTAACACAAGGAAGAAGGTGCTGGGGCTTTTATTTCTAAAGACACAAAAACTAATACTTGAACTAAAAATACTGTAATTTCTATAATTTTAATTGTATTCAAATTTTGTAAGAAAATCCTGCAATGGTTGTAGCATATGGAAATGTGGGCTACATTACCTCAGAAACTCAGCTTTGTGTGACAGTTCTCAAAACAATAAAGAGGAGGCCATCAGCATATAGGCACCCCTAGCATTCCACAAATTTCACTCACTGTTATTTTATGAACTGTTCTGCATAACACTTGGTCTCAGTCACTATATACCACATATTAACAAGTTCCCAATAACCATAACAGCAAGCAGGGAGTGGCCTATAAGTGATCAAGAGCTTTCTTGCAGATCTTCAGGTACAAGCAGAAAGATGAGTGTGTATTTTAAAGTGACATACATATCTGCTTACTTTAAGAATTATGAAAATGTACTAACTGAAAAGTTTGTTTAATTTTAGGACTTTGTTATTGCTATATTTATGTGTTAATTCACTGTAACAAATTATGATCACGATGAACATTTTTATGGCAATTTATTGGCTTCTTCTTAATTACCACAGCAGTCACAATGCATATACGACTTTTGGGTTTCTTCTTAATCACAAGTCCAACAACACCAACCAATGCCAGCAGGCAAGTAACAAACAAGCTGCTGGCTTACCTAGTGGAGAAAGACCAATGCTACGAGGGGAGCCGCAGGCTTGTGGGCTGCTGCTACTACTATCATGTTGAAGCAAGCCTATGACAGGTCTGCCACCTGGTGGAGAGCCAGCAAATTTTGTCAATGCAGGAGAAGTGAATCTGGCTGACATAACCATTGCAGGCCAAGAATTTCTCGATGAAGCATTAGAAGATGAATGTGTTACACTTACAGCCAGAATTTTGCATTAACAAATATGAAAATGTAGGCAAAACCTGCATTATTCAATGAAGCTGTGAAAAGCAAAGACTATATTGGTAAGGACTGCCTTAAAGCCAGTTTATATATAAATACATATTTATGTTACAGAGGATTCAGCATGTTCTATTTTGCAAAAGACACTGCCATGTTACTTACTTCTGAAGTGTAGGTGCAATTTATGCCAGAATATGTTTAAATTTGTATTTAAAATAATGCCAAAACAATACTACGAATCAAGGTGCATACAATAATTATTCATGTTTTATTTGTGATATCTGGGGCTCTCATGGTAGTGACTATGATAAGTGCAATCTTCTGGATGTGAAATAGTGTAGTCTACAACATTACGTTGCATCACATCCCAGAAGATGGTACTCTTCAATGTTGTATTTCATTTACAAATTACTGAAAGAAAAAAGGATGACTATCCAACATTTACCAGAATTTACTTCTTACATCAGTGCACCAAACTACATTTCACTGGAAATGCACTCTCTGTACACTACTTTCAATTACTGTTATAATCTTACCAAGCCTATGTATATACAGTTTATAATGGTAACAAAACACTCTTGGCTTCACAAATGGTAGGTAATAATGATCAAAACATGATGTCTGCTGCCAAATGCTTAATGGAAAATACATCACAACTAAATAATACCAAAAAACATTGTAAAAAAACAACATGAAAAAAGGTGCTTGAAAGGAACGAAAATTGTGCATGACAGGTAGCAAACAACATAGGGCATACAAAAGCACAGTCCCAGTTTAATTCAGTTATTGAAGCAGTGCTTAAATTGTGAAATATGCATCTTAACATGGCCAGTAATTATATCTTGGCTTGTTGGCACAAAACTGTAAACCAAAGAAACATGATTCTAGCATATGAAACACCCGGCTACTTTATATTTCACTCTTCCTATCAGCTATGTATTTGCACTGCATATCCAGGCAACAACCAAAGTAATCACTATCCTGTATTCCCTCCCAAACATCAATGACGTAACTATATTTTCAATCCAAACACTGCAGTTAAATAAAAAGAATACATTTATGTATCTGCAGTCACCCAAACAAGCAGCATGGACGTGGCAGAAACAAAATGAACCAGACAGAGATGAGAGAGCAGGCAAAAGTATTTAACAGCACAATACCTGCTACATTAGGGGCACTGCCTGCTGGCACGTTAAGAGAATGAGCAGTGCCTGCACAAGTTTGTCTGCCCAGCGGAGCTACGCGGCAAATGATAACAAGGCAGTCACTTCACCCGGGTATTATGCCATTACAATTGAAAATTATTTACTAGCATCCTTCGAATATATCTTTTATGTATTAAGAAAATGCAATTTAAGGAATGTTGAGAGATGATCCACAGTGACAAGAACATGGAATACTTCACTATTAGAAAACAGAAACCTGCATGTCACTGGTACTTGTATTTGTTCTGAACAGAACATGTATAATTTGCTAACAATCTTAGATACAATAAGGAAATTATTTTAATATATGCATGTTGAGGAAGGAGAAACAGAATGTCTATTTGTTACCTGGAATTAGTACAGGACTAGAGCTGCGACTGAGTCGTGGAGATGATCCTCCTCCCGGACATGCCTTAGGACTAGAGCTACGGGACATACGTCTTGGGGTCCCTGGAGGAGTGACTCCATTTCCATTAGCCCTGCTTTCTCCAATTGCTTTCACTAGATCCTTCACTGATACACCAACCAACTCTGGTGGGAGGTCTCTAATGGCACACAAACATAAAATTTTCTTTATATAATTCCCCCAGTCTTTGCTTTCAGCCTATCAGTGATTTTTGTCTCTTGTTCCACTGACTTTAACCCTGAAACAGATCCTGGTTTCCTTACTAAGTTTCTCCTTACTTCTCTATCCTAAGCCCCCCAGAGCCATTATTTCTTCATCCCTCTATCCTTGTAAAAATGACCCATTACAGACATCTGATTCTTACATCTTTCTCCTTACCCTACTGGTTTGCTCACAACTCCTAACTCACTCTATATCTGTACCATCTATTCCTATGCTCAACTGATTATTGTACGTTGAAGATGCAAGGAGTATGTTCCTCTGAAATGTCAGTAAACTTCTACCAGACTACACAGTATCATATCCCAGAAGAAACTATTCTTTGTACGTACTGTGATGTGTTAAAGAGGCTACACACAGGGTTTGGATTGGTAACTGGATTTATTGAATATATATATAACTCATAACTACAGGTCTCATATTTTCCATGGCCACAGGTGTTTTCACCTTCTCAACTGCCTGCAGGTTGGCTGATTTGTTGGTGTAGGCATTATGTTTGTTGCACCGCAGTTTTAGCACAAGTATATGTGCTGTCACAGCGTCCAGGTCACTATGGACTCTGTGCATCCTTTGCCAATGCACTATACTAAGTTACATTTATACAAGATATACAGAGGTTTTCTGTCAATGCAAGCTTATGCAGCAGGTTATGCCTTAACTTATTTAATTACTCTGAAACTGCAATTAGTCAGGTGAATGGTCATAGGCCTGACTGGTGCGAAATTTAAGCCTCTTATACTTCCTATGCATGGCTTCTACTTGTCCAGTACCATGTGCATTTGGATTTGCATGGTTTAGGATTATTTCTGCCTGTGTCCTGCATAATTTAGTTATCTATAAATAGATCTCATTATTATAGCCTGTGCATGGACCCAAGAGAAAACAATGCTTCCAATGGTTCCTCTATTGTTGTGTGCTAATTGTTCTGCAGTCATGTGACTTGGTTGCTGTGGAAATATGTTTGCAGACCCATTCCCTAGCAACAGTCTGTTGTTTAGGTTTATGGAGCCTAGCAATGGATGCCTTTTCCTCTTCCACAATTCTGGCTTTGAGCCAAAATGTCACACTATATAAAACACACTAATTCATTCCACTTACTACTGTTTCCCATACATGTAACTGTGCAAGCTCATCTACATTACCAGCAATAATGCTTAATTCTGAAGTTGGAACATTAATGACTGAGGTGATATTACTAAGCTCATCCTACAGGCCAACTGACATGAGCTATGCGCCAGTATGAAAACAAACACCCTTCAGAACTAATGTAGTCTGGCCTCTTGAACACCTGATAGAAAAGCATGCTAATATTAGTTTTATTGTGGGATGGAGTATTCAACAGTGTGAAAATAGCAAGGCAGAAAAATAACATGATAATACTTATCTTCTCAGCAGGTAATTGGAAATATCTTTCATATCTAGCAGATAGTAACACAATATCACACTCTATTAAAACTACAAAATATTCAGTTACAAAGCTAATTCCAAAAGCGTGCAGAAATTTTATATACTAAATCTGAATACTGGCATAGATTACTATACTGAAACAATGGAAAAATGAACATGGAAATAATGAAATATTCAATTTCACAACACACTGCTTATTTTCTGTCCAGCTTTCTATAACTCTGTAACTGACTACTGTGCTATTGCACAACTGGACAAAATAAGTACTCAAAGTTGTATACCTTATTGTATTACACTCCATACTAAAGAGTTACACAATACCAATGTTGTTTGTTTCAAAACATTGATATTTCAAGCGTTGTGGTAAATGTGTCTAGTACAGAAAGTTAAACAACTATGTAATGCAATGACAGAAGACTTAAGTGGAAGCAAATGGAAAATGTGCTTTGCAGATTGCATCATTCTTGCAAATTGTGAATAATGCCTATTTCAACTTAATATTTATTGGGTGCAATGAAGAGGATAATAATTGTGGGACATAAGGTACTGTTGTATTTCTTGGGTCAGTATGCAGCAACGCAATAAAACCAAATCACAAATGCCAAGTCAGTTTGTACTACTAACCATTTTGTCTCCCTAAAATGGGCAACTATAAACGAGTGAAAGTAACTAAATTTGTGAAAGAGAAGTGTATAAGTAGCTACGAATTTTACCTTAATAGGTAATAAAATTATTTCCCCTTAAAGGCTCCCACTGAGAAACACAGAAATCTTATACATGAGGCTGTCATATAGTTGCATGTGTATGGTAATTAATTCTACTGTGAGTCTCAACTATATATACATTTTAATTTAACAACTGACAACTTTTTTCAAGAACTGACAATTCAATTCAGAAAATCATTTTTACAAAGTTACCGTGTATGCAAATGCTGATTACAGTTATCACAAGGGTTAAATAGTTGTCTGCATAGTGTGAAGTATGATTCATACATGACATTTCATTTTATGGAACAGATTTTCAAGGTTCACTGAAGTTCAATATAATGTTGTTTTCCAACATTTCCTAGATTCCAGCAATGCATCTATGTTACTAAAGTGGAATCATCCTTACTTTAAACCCATAATTCACCAAAAAAACAAACCTTCCAGGAGAACCTCGCCTCTCCGAGCAATGTCGGCCCTCTTCACCTTTCAGCCACTTCTGAAGTGCAGCAAATTTGCTACTTTCCCTATCTTTCTCCTTGTCTCGGTCTCGAGTTCTCTCTCTTGAATGCAGGAGACTGGGTTTGGGGGAGAGCTCAGGCTTGTCATATTTTCCATCAGGGGCATGATGAATGTCATGGATGGCTTTAGTAGTTGCTCCCACTGAAAGCAAATAATAATTTCTTGCATAAAACACAGCATGCATATGTCATGATGCTGCCAGTTTGTTCAGACCCCAGAATGAAACTGGTGACTTTTTTTATTGCTAGTGGGGTGGGACTATGTCCCTTGTCCTGCAGCCACTTCTGGCCTATTGTACCAGCCCCAGATGATAGGTGAGGTTGATTGTGGAGCAATTGGGCGAATGAGGATCGGCAGGGGAAACCAAGGTACTCAGACAAAACCTGCCCCAGCGCCACTTTGTCCACCACAAATCCCACTTGACCAGACCTGGGATTGAACCCGGGCTGCCGCAGTGGGAAGCCAGCGACTAACCGTTTGAGCTATGGCGCAGCCAAATTGGTGCCTTACTGTAATACTAAGAATATCACAATCAGTCACAGACAAGATAATATGGGATATAAAATTTTAATTCTGTAAATCCTTTCACACTTTTTAAGAATTGTATTTTTTAGGATGTCCCAAATTAGATAAAATTAAAAATGGAAAATATGTAGAAATAATTAAATACATATTAAAGACAATAAAGTAAATGACTATAGAGGAAAATGGTTAAATCACTTCAAAAAATGGAAAATGACAGAATCCAAAAGTGTATATATATTCATTGCGAATGTACCAAAAAGAGAGTTAAAAAAACACAAAGTTAAAATTATAATAAAGTAGAACTTATGGTGGCCTGATCAATTAAATGCATACTGTAGACCTACAGACTAAGGTATGTAGAAGCTTCATTTGATTACTATCAAGGACAAGGGGCACTTTCAATATCTATATGTGTCTGGAAGACCAAAATTGATTGTTAAATTTCCAAGTTCCAAAATGTACACACAGCATAAAAATTCTGGGGCATTTGTTCCTGTTTGTCTAATTATCTTGAAAACACTGAGACTCATGGATAAATAATATATATAAAATGTAAGATTCATCTTTCTCTGCAGTTTATATTTGAAACATTTTTTGCTCCAATAAATATTTAGCAAAAAGTGTATAGAAGTGCACATAGGTCTTTATGTATAGCAGTCTCATCTTTGTCTGATTTCAGCTAAGACTGGAAGGCATCAACAAATTTTAGTAAAACTCAAAAATATAAAATTTCATGAAAATGTAAATGTACAGAAGCCAGACAGATGGAGATATGCTCCACAGGATTGCAAACTTGCCTAAAACTGTACTACGTTCAAGAGGCTGGGTATTCTTCTACCATCAGTTAAGCAGCAAAGTATGTGTCTGAAGACAGAATCATAAATATTCCTAGCACAGAATCTTGTGTGATGTATATGAAGGGAATGAACTGGATTTAAATGGATGAGGTGTGTGGAAAAAGAGGAGAGAATTTAACTACTGTATAACAATATGAGCGTTAACAACATACTTTTATGGGGCTGCCAATGAACATGTAATTATAAACACAGCAGACTTTTGTTCTTCCTCAAACCCCATAAAATCATTTGTGGTTTTGAGCCTATGTATAGTAATTACAACTTCAAAACAGCTGTTGGGTTCTTACATCTGCTCTCTTGTCCAAATGCTCCGAAAACAAATGGGTTGGTGTTGCTGCTGCCTGCTGATCCTGGCGGAGGTGTATCTTTGAGTCCAGACATGGTGGATCCAAAATTAAAGCCTGCTCCATCTGCTGTAACAAGTGCTGTGGCATTTGTATTACTGGAAAAATCAAATCCTCTTTTGTGAGGTGAAAAGCTGTTTTCTTCTATTTGAGGCTGAGTCTCCATTGCACATTCTGCAAAGCAAATAAAATACAGTTCAGTACAGGATGAGTAGACAGCTTATCATCTGCAGCTCACATCATTCTGAAAAGAAGATAGTGAGGCAAGAAAGGAAGAAGCATTTACTAGAGAAAGGTCCTTGTCAACAGAATGACAAAATAGTCTGTCAACATAAACTCTTTGGAATAAACCAAAGAAAAACACTACAAGTCTGGGGCAGATGAGTTCAATCACTTTGCTCATTGAAATCACAGTAACTCTAACTGTGGGTATGTAAAACACATTTTTGCTTCAATTTACTTAAGAACAAATACAGAAATAAAAACTATTGCCTTGTGAAGAGGTAATTCCTGAAATACAGAATGTGAAACAAAATAGCAGCCCACACTATAAAATACAAATCACTATACATGGCTTCAAACTTTCATCTGACATTGTACTAAATGTTGAAAGAATGTTTGGACTGTACAGTGCAAAAGATGGGGAAGATATGGTATCTTGAATTTTGCTCAATGTTATATGAAAGAGGAGCATGAATTTTGTTTTAATCTTGACCAGTAAAGAGTTAAGCCATTAGGCTAGATCTGTAAGCATAATTATGTAAGACATGACAGTTCTAAGTTCTAAGCTAATGTGGACCTCTACAGTTACGCTACTCATTTATAGTAATCACAGAGATAAGGCTCTCCAGGTCATCTGTCAGTGCTACTGGATTCTGTGACTTTTTGAAAGCAATGGGAGTTTTGCATGCATTTTATTGATTCCATCAGTACTCAGTAGAGCTTGTAAGAAATAAAAATGGTGTGAACATATTAACAGCCATAGCAAAAGACCAGTCAAAAATGTTGCAGCAAAAGAAGATAAATATCAATGATGCTAAAAATGTGCAAGCACCTTAAGAGAAAAAAAACATCATATCAGCATATCACAACTTGACACAAGTAATGAACATGTTAATCCCTTACGATTGAGAGATGAGAGATGTGCTGCTTATGTTTTACATGTACATACATTTCTTCCAATTGCAGTACCATACAGTGCCCAACATTCCTGAATTAGCTATCATAAAAAATCCGTTATGCATTACCCATAAATCTTATGGACTTGATTAAGTGTAGATGTGATGAAAACAGGATAGGTATTAGGGAAGATGGATAATAAGAGTGAGTAATGGTAATAAACAACTAATGACAACAAAACAAATATTACAGGAGAGAAAATATTAGTAGGACAACGACACTAAAATGAAAGAAATTTCTCAAAGAAAAGGTACTGAGGAAAATACTGGTAAAAGAACCAATTTTGTAATATAAAATAATGACATTAGAGACTGATACATTGACATAACTATAAAGAAATTATTCATATCCCTGCCCTATCTATGTTAAGATATACAATTACCTCCATCTACAACACCTTCTTTCTTCAAGTATACCACATCACTCCGGCTAAGGGCCAAAGACCAAGCTTCCCCCTCTGTGTTGAAGCAGAACTTTCTCATAGTTTCCTTATCCAGTTGCACCCATGTTCCTTCTCCATTAACCACCTGGTTAGAAAAACAAAACACACACAAATATTCATAAATTATTCAGTTCAATGGTTTTAATTTTCAAGATCATTTTCTGGAAAACTGAATATAGTATGCCCAAGAACCTGAATGTGACCATTCTCCCTGCAGATATATGTTATGATATTTTACCTTTTACACCAGAACATGATGACTGGAAAATAAAGTACAATTCTGTGCCTGGATATTCTAAACACTGATAAACAGTGTCACTAGCAATCTTGTATCATATCTTGTATGTTTCACATGTAACATTTCATAAAATCAGACATCACAGTTATGTAGATACTAAAGGGTTCTGACAATGGTGTATAACCCACAGAGATACTGGGTTTTTGGACTTTGTCCATCATCCAGATTCTAAATAACTGAGAAAGAACACGTCGTTTCAGAAACTGGATCTGTTCTCGTCCTCAGGTGAGGGAAGACACCTACTCTGTTGGTTCCCTTAGAAAGAGCTAGCTTCAAGCCCTTACCTGAGGATGGAAACAGATTCAGTTTCCAAAATGTTGTGTTTTTTCTTTGTTATTTAGAATCTGGACGATGGATGAAGTCCAAAAACCCAGTATCTCTGTGTATCACAGTTATGTGATTCTACTCCTGTTTCATATTTGGAATATTCCAGAGAGTGACTGACTATTCTGAGCCGAGTTTTTCATGGTTTTCCCCAGCAATGCATGACAAATGACAAGTCCTTAAAATTGGCCACAGACATCCTTCCAATTCATCATTTGCAATCATTCTACTGCTCCATACTACCTAACCAACATAGTAATAAATTTATGGTTAAATAACTCATGACTCAACAAATTACTTTTCTAAAGCAATGTTTCTCACACTGTGGAATACATATTGCCACTAATCTAAAACACTTCACAAATATAGTACTGATTTAATAGACATACAGTAAACCCCCATTTGATTCCAAGTTCTTAGGACAGAAAAATACAAACTCTGAATTAAATAAATTTAATTATGTGATTTTTATTGCAGACAACCTGCAGGGCAGAGACTGATATGAGAAATGTCAGCACTGTACTAGACTAAGCACAAAACACAAGATTTAAATTTGGAGAAATGAAATTTTTTTTATAAATACTTCAATTCCTCTCAATTAAAATCACAAATTTGGCTTGAATATCAATGCACAACTGTTACACCCTACAACAATACCAAAGATAATGCCCCGTCACTAAGTAAGAAAATATATCTTTCACAACAATGCCATCCATACCTGTATATCTTGCTACAAAATCAAACATTGATAAAGCTGTTGTGATTGCAAAGGTAAGGGCACAGGGGCTTTAGAATCACTAGAGGGTTCATGATGACCAGCACCTCATGTCATATCATTATGGATGTTTATGAATGAGGCATTTCTCATTATACATAACAGAACTCTAAACAGTGGGACAACTGCAGCTCTTCAATGCATTATTTTTTGGATACAAACTGACCAAACGTTTTCACCTTAATCCAAAAATTCTACGTTATTTTGTGGAGTTAAATGTATTGTTCAAAGACAAATTATATATAGAAAGGAGCTCTAAACCAGTATCAGTACAGAAGCTAAGTAACTCATGGAGCACAATCCTTCTTGAGGAGCTGTCAGCCACCCATTATATAACGTGAAGGACCATATTGTGTTTATAAAAGCCCACCACTGATAAATAACAAGAAATTATAAATGATCAATAATAACAAAGAATGATCCTTCTTTTCAAAATTTAAGATATGTAATTCCACTTTTATGTAACAGGTGATCAATAATATAGAAGTAATTAACATTAGACATACAATACAGACTCAATATCTCTTATTCCCATCAGCTGTTCAAACAAATCTGGTTTAAAATAGCAAACACAAAACTTGGAAAATATACACTAGTAACTCACATGATCCACAACTGTCACATGATTTCCAAGAACCAACATGCCAACAGGTGGAGCCTTAAGGCTTGGACGACTACGAACATTGTGGCCACTTGCACCACATTTCACCACTTGATATTCACCTGGACCACACACAACAGCACTCTTTGCTCGGCTAAGTAAATACAAAACACATGCTATACATATACAACAGTCATCACAGCATGATACAGAACATATTAACACACTGATATCAGGTCACAGGGACTTCCATAATGTCTCATAACAGCAGGACACAGCTAATCATGGATATTTCTTCTTTAATACATATTGCAGTTTCATGCTATGTAGGGCCGTGCCATAGCTCAAGCGGTTAGTCGCTGGCTTCTCACCACAGCGGCCCGGGTTTGATCCTGGGTCTGGTCAAGTGGGATTTGTGGTGGACAAAGTGGCACTGGGGCAGGATTTCTCCGAGTACTTCAGTTTCCCCTGCCAATCTTCATTCCACCAACTCCTCCACAATCACCCTCACCTATCAGCTATGGCTGGTACAATAGGCCAGAAGTGGCTGCAGTACAAGGGATTTAGTCCTACCCCACTAGCAATAAAAAAAATTCATGTTATGTAGACCACCATAGATGGCATATACGTATAACTGTTTGTACAGCTGACATGGATAATGAAAACTGTGGTATATCTTTGACAGAACTCATCCAAGAAATAGCATGTTATCAACACATTTCCGTGACTACTATTTTAGTGTGAAGTGAGTAAACATGGCAGCATCTAAGAGGAAGAACTGGTGAAGTCTTAGAGTGATTAATGTGCCAACAATTTATGTTAAGTATATCTAACAGTGAAAGTGAATATCAGTTCAGAGGTTACTGATTCTGAGTCTAAAGTCAGAAGAAAGCAAAGGAAATGTATGTCAGAGAAACCAGAAATGGTACAATAAATGTAAAAACCAGTCATTGATGTGGTGGCTTTACGAGACAGTAAAGTGAATTGTTCAGTCATGATTTGAAGAGCATGAATGTGAACTTCAACATCTTCCCTGGACAGCACAATAACCACCTTTGAATACTACTGAACCACTCTTGTCAGTTTTGGAGACTAGAGCGAGGAACAGATTCACACGTACAACATCTCTTCTGCAACTTGAAGATTTTCTTCAAGAAGAATGGTATACAATTTTGCTAGTGACTGTTCAAAACTTGTACAAGTCCATTCCGAGAAGGACTGTGATTCTACTGAAGGCAAAAGGTGGTCCCACACCATATTAATAAAGAAATGTGTACAGTATCTGTAGTGTTTCCATTGTTCTGTCCAACTCCTGTACAACTACAGTACTCTTCAGTGTGAGGAAACAAACAGAAAACATGATTTCATACAGGCATTGTAAGTGTAAGTCCATATGAATGTATGCTGTATTCTTCATTCTATCAAAATGGGCAAAATTAACCTATAACTTCTAGTCTGTTTTTATTTTCATTGTAATAAAAAATCAGAAAATGAATATATACCTATCCTTATTAGAAACTTCTGGTAATTTCCTCATAATGGTTTCCTTGATGACCTGATCAAGGATGGACTTGGGTTCCTCCACTGGCAGCAACAAGGTTTTACCCAGATGTTGGTTATACTGCAGGCACCATGCCTCACCATGCCCATTGCTACAGTACTGGTGAATTGTGTCCTGGCTTAGACGCAACCACACCCCATCATCATTGTGGATCTGGAAGTTCAGATTGACAACACACAAGAAAAAATGTAATACTATGCATTGTTGCCAGTGCTAAGATTACATATCTGCACAATATAAATAGGCAAAATGGCAAGAGGAAACACAGTTACAAAATATAAATTGAAAGCAGACCAACCACTTATCTGCCACATGAGCTAGAGAATACTTTAACACATATGCTGTTAGCTCTAATTTGCATGTGTAGTGGATATAGGAAGGTGCTAATTTTTATAATGCATAGATATCTGTCTCCAAGTTAATGTCTGAAGTGCAGGGCAAGACACTCACTATGTACATATCAAAGAATAGGCACATATACATCTAACATAAAGAATAGTAACTCAGTCTTCTTACCTCATCTATGAAAGCAATGGTGCCATTAACATGCACAATTCCTATCTGCTCACTTTGCAGAGAAGGATGGGCTCTGATTCTGAGTCCTGCACTGTTCTTTGCCACGAACTTACGCAGACGACTAGGCTGGTGGGGAGCTTTCTTCACCACACTCTGTGTAGGTGGAGTCATTCCTTGCGGTGGTTCCTTCACTTCTACTTTGTATGCCTGAAACATGACCACTTCTATCTGCAATAAACATTTAGTTATTTATTCAAATGTGCTTTCTGCTAATGAATCAACTTCCTCAGTATCCAGGATTGTATTTACTGAGAGCTTTCCTCCATACAGCTCTCATACTTTCCTTCCAATTTGAACGCAAGACTGAAGTTTCTATATTTTCAAATCCACTTCACTGTTCCCTTATAAAATGCTATGGTAGGAAATGGAAATAAATTTAGAAAAATACATATAAAAACTACCATGAAATTTAATATATCAGAATGGAAACAGGAGAAAACATGGCAGAAACGGGATATATATGAGCTATACAAAAGAAATATTCTGTCCACACAAAGATTACTTCTATGTAAGGATACAAGGACATGACACAGTTTACTTTAACAAATTCTTAACAAGCTGATGGAAAAATTAATTGGGGTTACAACAGTATAAAAAAGGAACAAAAATGAAGAAACAAATTAAGTAAGTATAAACAAGTTGAAAAAGGAACAAAGCAAACAACATGTAAATGCGACAGAAAGCAAAAGATAAAAAATAACTAAACAGTGCAAGAATTTTCACATTTCTCATTCAAGATCTATAATTTTCCCCATTATATCGGTGCCTGTATGTACAGTTCGCAAATCTGCATTCAATTCAACAATAAATAGTGTGTCTTTACTTACCTCTTCCATATCATAACCATCAATGGTAACAAGCACAGAATACCAGCCAACACTTCCTGGTGTCCATGTTGCACTATATGTTCCATCAGAGTTTGGACGTACTAACATATTTTCACTTGAACGCTTAACAGCAGGAGAAGTAAACCGTAATTCCTCAAAAGAATAGTTCTCATATGCCTAGAAAACAAAATTAGCTGGTGAAATACTGGCACAGAAATGAATTATAACACAGCTGTAAAATTACAATTCTATGTAGACGGTGAGAGTCAAATTCAAAATTTCTGTACATCAAAGACAACAACTGGCTAATTCGTACTGAGTGGATGGATGTTAAATTTATTTAAATAAGATATACCTTCATAATGGTGATGGCATAATAACACATCTTATCCTTTACGGTAACCTCATATGGTGTTTCCAAAGAAGGATGTGCGTGTCCTCCGAAAGTCAGAGCATCTGGTTGGCTCACTCGACGCATCTTACGGCCCTGGTCAGAATCACCAATCTCCTTCTTGTCAATCGGTACTGCCTTTACTTCAATCTGATTCACAGGCATGACAAATGTACATTCATTACATAATAGATCCCACACACAAAAGAAGGAAAAACAGAAAAGCATGTCCTTTCATATTAACCATCACCAACTTTGTATTTCTATACATAAGGCCAAAATAAGACTTTCAGAATTGTGTAAGTTGCCTTTCCAATAAACACATTTATCTGTAAAAAAATGTACAGCTATACAGCACCTAGACATCTGATGGTAAGCCAGGCACATTTAACCATACTGCTAAAGCAGCTCCAAACCTATCACTACTACTAATCCAGATATGCAGTTCACAGTGGCCGTCTATCTATCAAGATATGTAGTTAACAAATTAACAGTGACAGCAGATAAGTGTAAATACAGAAGCTGTCACTTTCAAGAAGGAAAACTCATAAGAACTGTTCTTCTGCTGTCAAAATGCATGGGTTCAAGTCAGGTTAATTTCTTGCCCATGACTTTCTTGAGTTAGAAAAACAATGGAATCATAATGACAAATGTGTGCTGTCACAATCACTAAGCAGCCATATAGCTACATATTAATTTAATGCAGACTCTTATTTAAATATAAGATGCAGCAGTATAACCAAGAAAGAAGGAAATGTAAGCTTCTGGAGCACACAATTTTCTTCCATGAAGATGAAGGTAAGAGATGATGAATGATTATTGAGCAATGCAGGAGTGATACAGAGGACGTAAATGATAAAATTTTTACAAAGAAAACCAAGAGAAGCATGGCCTTGTGCATCTTATAAACACTCCATAACCTGTACCATAGCATATGTAATCTTCATATACTTTCTTATTAATATTGTGACTGAACTCGGCGATGGCCACATTACAACTCTTCCTCGCAGGCAGCACAGCTCTCTTATATAGTGGCTGTGTGTGCCTGTTACGTAGCAACGCTGTTACCTCACGCCGTCTTATGTCACCGCACGTTGCACGTTACGTTACCGTGCGGAGAGGGGGAGGGGAGCGCTGACTCATCCTCCAGGTCACTGTGGCCTGAGTTGCCACGTTGCTGCTGGGTAGGGAGGGGTTCTCCGTTGTGACACATGTCACAATATTTTAAAATAAGACAGTAATTAATTACTTTCAAAGTTGATGTTGGCTACATAATATTTAGCCCATCATAATAATAAGTCCATAAGAACCTGATACCCAATCAGCTGATTAAAAAATGCTTTGCCTTTTAAGGAATCCTTAATATGCTCACAAGTGATCTCCTTCCTTTATGTTTCTTGGCTGGAATTTTGTATGCGTTTCATATACCACTGAAATGTTATCACAGTTTGACTTAAGCATGCTTCTGTGTTCTCATGAGTGAAGTACTTTTATAATGAAGCAAAAATATCGTTTTTTTTTCAGAATTTCTCTCTCGCTATATATACAGGGTGTCCCAGTATGGAATGGACCAAACTTCGGGAGTGTGTTCCTTATGTTAAAGTATGCCGATATAACCCAAAACACCTATGTCCAAAGTTGAACGGTTACGGAGATAATGGCCCGAGAAAAGTGTGGTCTTCTAGCGGGTCTACGGACTATACCTATCAGCTGAGAGGCCTTATCTATGTTTGTCCTTGAGTGCCGTGATTCACCCTAGCCGTACTTATGTAGTTGGCTT